GTAATTTGTTTTTCTTTCGCCCATAAAAGTGGTAGGAATAATTTTTTTGTTCTATAAAAACCAGATTTAATATTTTTATTTGTTCAAGGATGATATAGATGCTCATGAAAAAAACTTGAACGACATCCTACTCGATATACAAGCACTTCTGCAACGAACAGAACAACTAATTGCAGAAAACAAAAAACTAAGTGAGGATAATAGAAAATTAATCGAAGAAAAAGAAAAATTAATTGAAGAAAAAACAAAGTCAAATGAAGAAAAAGAAAAATTATTTGAAGAAAAAACAAAATTAGTTGAACAAAACAAAACCTTAATGGAAGAAAAAATAAAATCAAATGAAGAAACAAATAAATCAATTGAAGAGAACGAAAAATTCATCGAAGAAATGGTCTTAGAATTCGAGAAAAGATATCCAAATCTCGAAGAACTATTCATATCATCAACAGGAAAGTGTGATAATGATAAACAAAAATGGAATTATTTCAAAAATGAAATTTATAAGTCAAAAGTTGTGGTTATGTACCCCTTTGCTACTTGTATTTCCAATCACGTTTTTAATTGGAAAAAAATGATGTCAAAAATGAGCTATTCTTGCATTTCTCAGAATAAAACTTACTGTTAGATTCTTATTAATTTCTTTGTTGTTCAAATTTACTCATTGTTTAATTAGTGATCGTCTATTTCCTTATCTTCATGTTCTACTCTTTCGATTATTATTCGTTTCATACCTATTGTTTATTATTGTTTAACTTTTGATCGTGTATTTCTTATCTTGTTGTACTCTTTCAATTATTGTTCATTTCGTACTCATGATCATATAATCCAGAAATACGTTTATTGATATAAATAAAATTTCATGATATGTATCGAGATTGATACAATAGATAACATATAATATTTGTGTTCACTACGATGTGCTTTGAAGGAAATGTAATAGGTGCTGTATCTATTTGTGTAGAACAAGCTGCACTTTAATTTAATTTTAATAATAGTTGAAAACTATAAGTAGCTGCTAAGACAAAAATAATAAATTTTGATTAACGTTGGTCAGATACAAGTGTAATGAATCGAGATAAATTATTGCAAGTATTTAAGTCATCGATTAAATCATAAAATACTTTTTTGAATATCGATTAAGCAATATGTATGCGTCAGTTTTTCTCATGGATGTGCAGTCTTTTAAAACACTTTTAATTCTAATACACAAGCAGATGATGAATGAATAGCATTAAATTATCGTTAAAACTATAATAAAGGTTTAAATTCATTTTTGTCACCAAGTAACATCATGGAAAATAAAAATAAAACAAAGATCAACTCAGTTTCTTTTCTATACCCATTAATTCACTATTTAATTTACATGATAGAGCAAAGATTATTTAGATATGAATTACCCAGTGAAAAGTCTTGAGATCAAGATAAATTTTATTTTAATGAAGTAAAAGACCATTTAAATTAGTATCAAGACGAGTTATAAAGTCCTCTCCTTCAAAAAAACGAGTTTTCTGAATAAAGACACTTTTTGAGACAACCATACGGACAAAACCCGTAAGTTGTCTAGTTTTAAAGTTCATAACAATGACTTCCCGTTTTAAAAGGTTTCTTCAGAAATCATAATAAGCTTTTCGAGCTTCTCAGTGAAGACTCCTTATAAGGATGGGACCAGCATGCAGCTAATGAGATACTTGATAAGACTCTAAGTAAATGTTTGATTGATACGTAATACAAACATATTGGATTCTTAAGTAAGAAACGTTTTCAAATAATTATACCAAAAAATGCTGGCGCATTTTTTTAACATTGGTTATTACGTAAATTGTCGCATGCCGAACAAATTTTTTTTTCAAATATTCGTTTTAGTAAACTGCGGGTTTTTTTATTCAATCGATATATGTATTCTTTTTCGGATGAAGGGAAACGATTCTATTCGACCTTAAATATCAGAGTAACCACGGATTCTCTAGAAAACCACACCTAAGATTCGGAGTTTCAAGATTTTAACCGGGGTAAAAATGCAATAAAATAAAAACTAAAAAATTCTTTCGTCATCCTAAGCAGTGTGAAGTTTTCTTTGAAAAGAGAGTAGTTCGAGAGTTCTAGCTCAAAATATATTTGAAAAAAACTGTATACATGAAATTTCTATTTTTCACAATGGTTCCTGGAAACCTTCTGAACTGTAAGGTTAAGAGTCGTAAAAGTTTTTTTTAGTAGCTTACTTTTATTAGACGAATATCTTGAGAGAGCTTCATGAACATATTGTGTTTGTGAACACGAAATAGATATTAATGGAATAAAAGCACCCAGCAGAAATAAGAGAAAAGAAGTTATCAATTTGGATTCTCTACTTAAATGTTATCTTGTCCAATTTTAGAATCGAATGTTTATCAAACAACTATAAAATCGAGAAAACCAGGTAATCGTTCTTTTTATTTCATGAAATAGATATATTTAATTTTCTGAGATCAAAATGTAAATGCTGTCACTGTTCATTGTTATGAGACAAAAAAATAGCCGGCCTTGAACATACAAACATAGTACATGCTGGACAAGCACTACATGATACTCTTTTAATCATTTAAATAGAAATAAATTTTTTTACGAAGATATATGAAAAAGAATTGACAAAGATTCTATATGATGTCTACTATCTATTTACTTGATTTCCAATCAAACTGAGTCCAAAGAAAAAACATAAAGATTATCATTATTTAGAAAATATAGAAAAATAATTTGGATTCGAATAATGACGAGTTCATCCTAAAATCTGTTTTATCCATCAAGTATCTACATTTATAGCTTGTATAGATTGATGAATTGAAGTTTATTATCACACGCCTTTGATCCTTGTAGATAAGTTATATGTTTTTCCTTCATAAAAAAATTCATTCATTAGGGCAAATGATATACATGATATCCATACCAAATATTTCTAAGAGCTAAAGTAATAAATGAAAATAAAAAGTAAATATTCATTTCATAAAATGATACTTGACTATCTAGCTATACTTCTAAAATTGCACTCATTTTTATGTCTTATTTAGAAGAAAGTAAATCTGTCTGAAGAAAAACACATTGAATTATTTTACAAGTTAATATATATTTATTCATGTAAGTTCAAGGTCCAAAATACTCTGATAAGTCTTACTAGATAGAATAAGTCCATTTAAAGGTAGTTTGATTGATGCACTCTTTCTTAAATGAATACACACATTTTCTGTGATAATGACAACACTCGACAAGGATATGTATCTGCCATTAATGAAATAAGTTTAAAACCAGTTGTACAATAAGGATCAATTGTATCAGTAATGAAGGGTAAGAATGATTGATCTGGAGCTGCAACAACCAATGCTGGTTAAAAGAATTCTTTTTACAATTTCAAAAAATTTAAAACTTACTTCAGTGCCAAACAAAGTGGCTTGAATGCAAAGGATACTTTATTTCAATTTTGATAAGCAATCAATAGTCTACAGATAGAATAAATCAATTAATTAATTATTTCGATATTAATCTTCTATCACTTACCTATAAAGTTCAATGGTTTCGAAAGAAATGAAACCGAAAACCAAACTGAAATCGTAATTTTCCAGTTCCTCCTACAAGAACCAGGATATGAGTGTGATTCTTTTTTTCATCAGCGCCCAGATCCATACTCTAGACATCGACATCCTAACCAACAACTGTATATGTATGTTTTGAATGGTGCTTGTTGGCTAAATACAATTTAAACATAGCTAAGACACCCTCATTGTCAGCTTCTTCGGATATACATTTTTTTTAAAATCGATTATGATATACGAACAAACTACTACGAAAGCAGGTATATATTATGGGAATATGTGAAATTATTTACCATCTTGTACATTTAGTAATCTTGATTTTCAATTATTTGATAACAAATATTTCAAATACTATTAATGTCGTCAGGTATTACCTTCCTACGTCAAGTCTTGTTAAGAATTAGGACAATGTCTTGGTGCACAGTCTTTCTTTCAAGAAAGAAAAACTCTATACAATATAAAGATAAGATTCGACACTTTAGTAATTATTCCCTCATATTGTCTGATTATAAAATAGCCATTCATTTGCTGTTGTATGAGTTATATGGAGTAGTCGAAAGTGACAGTATCAGAATGAGGATATATTATCAATATTCGAAATATTTGTCGTCAAATAAATGAAAATTAACATTGACAAACGTCCAAGATTATAAAGAATTTTACACGCTCTCCAAAATAAATAGTTACTTTTGTAATAGCCTGCTCTTATATCAAAATCAATTTAAAAACAACGAATGAAAAAGAAACAAAAAATTCATTTCTGGGAAACTTGATGATGAACACACATTCACTGTATTTCATTATCCCATTAGCAATCAAGTAAAATTCAAAACATATATTTATTTGTAGAGTTGTAGAACACTTTACATCTTATCGGTAGATATAATTAGAGTAGATGTGGGTGTTGGTTTTATTTTCATCAATACGTTTTATTTGTTTTCATCATTGCTCGATAGCTACTTCTCCAGCTTTTAAAACCATCTTCAACTTTTTTTTTAATTTACATATTTATTATTTATTTCTTAAAATGACGTGAAATGCGAGTTGCTAAGTCTTGGATATGAATCATACTTATGATTATCGGTTATTTTTCAGCTAGTATTATTCATTACGAATGATCGATCCTTTTTCTTTGCTTTGTTGTTAGATATTAACATAATAACAATTATTCAATCAAAGTTTATAAGAATTTTTAGCCGTTAAGTACAAGAGTTCTTCTTTATAATACTCATTGTAAGAGCAATATCGAAAGAATCCTATCTGAGATTTTCTCGTCGTAATTTATTTATTGTTTTCCAAAAAAAAAAACGTGCGAGTTATAGAAAAAATGTCCAATTTCTATGTCTATATAAAATACAGAACAGAAATTTTATTGTTGATCTCAAACATGGATTTAATGTAAAATGGATATTTTATTTAATCACAAAAAAAAAGTTTTTATCGTAAAAACGCAAGCCAAAAAGCCATAGTAGCACATGAGATTGCAACAACAAGAGAAAGACGAGTACCAATTATTGACGCTAAAAATAAAATATACGAACAATTAATTGGAATAAATAAAAGAAAAACAAAAGGAAACCTTTGTAAAAAATGCCAGCAAATCCTTTTTTTTCCGATAGAAACCATTCACGTAATTTTGGTACACGACGCATATAACCACATGTACATATTGTTAATAAAACAAAGATAATTATACCATCAAATGAATAAGCTAAATAAAATAACAAAAAGTTTTTTTTTTTTATAAATTTAAAGAAATTTTCTTGTTTTAAAATTTACCATTAACCATTTTTTTTTCTTTATTTATTTCTGTGAGAAATTTTTATCTGAAACAAAAAAAAACAGGGGGGAAAAGAAAATGTTTATTTATTTAAAAAATATTTCTGTAAAGTATCAATAATTAGACCAAATGATATAAATGATGAATAATCTTCATTATGTATAAATAGCTGAGCAATTTTTAAAAGAAATTCTTCATTATGTTCAATTTGATTTAGAACTTTACGTTTTTCTTCATAAGATAAATTTTCATTTAAATAATAATCAAATAATAATGGATTTATTGATAATAAATCATTAACACGATTTCTTTCAATTGACATTAATAAAAATTTTTTATCAATCATTAATTCAGACTAAATTAAATAAAAATAAAATATATTTTTTAAACTAGAAGAAAATAAGATAAGAATTTTAAATTACTGGTGATCGAAAAAGTAAATCAGCTAATGATGATATTGGATTTATTAACCAAAGTTTATATGCATAAGACATAAGATCTGTTGAATTGTATAAATATTTTATTAATGAATTCATTTCCTAAATTCAATTCAAATTAAATATCTACATCGATTATGCTAATATTAATATACAACATATTCTCCGACCACCGTACCTATATCTCTACTAAATCAGTGAACATGTTATGAATACAAACATATAAAATGGATCGCAAAAATTTAAGATACCTTCATTTTTGAAGTTTTTTTGATTGAAGATGAATAGTTAGGTAAAATCGAAATAGTGATTTGGATAGCTCTTGAAATTCCCTATCGAATTGAATATATATCAAATTTTGAAAACAAGTTTTCTCAAGAGAGTTTTACAGAAAACCGTGACAGGGAGACTTCAAGTATTAGAGGATTTTGACAGAAGGAGTTTTCAATATAATCATCTCAAAGAGCAGAAAATTCTGAATAAAATCAAGGGTTGACCAGCTCTCAAAGATATTCTCTCACAATGTTGCAATCATTAGAAAAAACCAAAAAAAAACGCGTTTGTCGTCGATTTTTATCAAAAAAAGCCCTAAAATTCGAATAAAACCGCATTTTTTCGTTTTTCTAATGATTAGAACATTGTGAGTGAATATCGTAGACAGTTAGTCGACGATTCATTTTGATGAGAATTTTCTGCTTCTTGAGATGATTATATTGAAAAATCTTTCTATCAAAATTGTCTAGGACTTGAAGTCTCTCTGTCACGGTTTTCTGTAAAACTCTCTTGATAAAGTTTGTTTTGACAATTTGATATATATTCTATTCGATAGAGAATTTCAATAGCTATCCAAATCACTATTTCGATTTAATCTAGTTATTTATCTTCGATGAAAAACGCCAAAAATAAAAGTCTCTTAAACTTTTGTGGTTCACTTTATGTCCAAACTTACATATGCGACAGTTCAAGATTATTCTTTCAATTCTGTTTTATTTTATTTTTGAATAATCTTTTATATGGTATTATGTTTTTTCTCATTATAGTATCACATATGATATAGAAAATATCTCTAACGAAGTTCTTATTATTCTAAGATATTGTAGAGTGTTTGCAAACAGAGTTAGTCTAATCGATACTAAGAGAATTAAACGAAAAGATCTACGAAAGAAATGTTGTATTTTGTCACTATAAAAGTGAAATAAATGCTTCAGAAGTAGAAATTTATAATCAAGATCAAGCTCATTGTCCGAGAGTTTATTGCTAAATATAGGGATACTGTCAAAATGATTCGCTTGATGTCTGAACATTGATAAAAAAAAATTCCAAATGGCCAAAATACCATCGATCGGTTGAGTATTCTATATGAATTTCTTTCTTGAATTTTAGCATCTAAGAATCCGGGTTTCGACTAAAATACTTTTTTTAAATTAAAATAACTATTTTTTTCAATAAAAAAATGGTTTCTTCAGCGAAAAAACTAGTCGAGAATAGAATGGCAGGTTTCGATGAGTAATGTGAATATTAATAATAGAAAATGATGCCCTGGTATTCTAATGGGGTGTTCTAACAATAACTGTCTATTGTGATAAAAGGCATTATGTCATTATCTAAATGTGTTGCATATCTTTGTAACAGATTGATTTGTTTATTTCGTACTTCTTCATCAAATTGAATAATATTTTCCGTTAATATTCTTTCCCAATCGGAATTTTTTTCAATCATTGCTAAAATTAATTCATTTTTTAAAATTAATCCATGTGATCTAAATACAAAAAAGAAACGAGTTAATTTGATAAAATAATATTAACAAAAAAAGAAAAAAAAATCGAACCCTTTCATATAATTAATTTGTTGTTTTGACCAAGTATTATTAAGAATTTGAATAAGAGATTCAAAATGAATAAGTCTTTCCGATTGTAAAAGATATTTTTGAAAAAGAATAGAACGATTTTCATCAGTTTCAATATCTTCTTTTTTTAACTAAATTATTAAAATATTATTTACAAAAAAACAAAAACAAAAAAAAATTACTTCAGTAAATGAATCAAATGATGAAAGTAAAGTTGATAAACGATATTGTTCAAATAATAAAAGATCATCTGATTGTAGACCTTGTTTATCAAACATCTAATTGAAAAATAAAAAATAAAAAATAATTCTTTCAATTGAATAATTATTAATAAATATTACTCTATCAAGTTTATCAATTAATTTATATCGAACACGTCGATCAATTATTTCTGAACGACACATTTGTTGTAAACAAGAAAATAATTCTTTTTTATTAATATCATCCATAGATATATTTTCTAATAAATAATCTAATCGTAAATAACTATCTTCATTACCAGATCTTCAATAAAAAATAAATTAAAAAAAGAAAATTAATTTTTATTATTTTATTTTACTTTATTTCTTGACTTATTTTTTCAATAGTTAATTGTAAAATATGATAAATTGATATATCATAAAAAATATTATTTTTTAAATAAATAATTAAATAAAATTGTCCATGTTTAGATAATAAATTTGATAAAATTTCTTCTTGTTGTTGAATATTTTCACATTGATCTATTTGATTTAATTCATCTTGTGAATAATCTGGTAAAAGTTTATATAAAATTTCAAGACGTAATAAATGTTTATTTAATTTTTCTTCTAATTCTTTCCATTGTTGATCTTCTTTAGATATAATTTGTTTTATTGAATATTCAATTATTTTTATTCGTTTATTAATTAAAAAAATATTTTTTGGTAATAATAAATTTTCAATACATAAATTAAAATCTTCAAATAATGTTATTCGATTTAATAAATCATATATTAATGATGATGATGGATTATATCGTAAATAATATGAATATATCCAACTTGGTGTTATTATTAATGATGATGAGATTTTAATTTGATCAAGTGCTAAACCAAGATTTATTATATTTGAATCATTCGAATATTTTTCGATAAATAATTCCGGTGATGAAAGAAAGAATTTGTAATCAAAATCTAAATACAACAAAAACAAATTAGAGTAACATTCGACTATATATATACATAATTGTGGTTTTTATTATCTCGGATCAAAATACATCATCTGGATTTTTTTATCCATCTTATTCTACGTGTTCATAACCTTGCAGTTTTCATGCGTTCTATCGAATTGATAAATTCAATTGATCAAACTGACTTTAAGGCTCCCCTGTAGAGCCCATTGTGTCTAACAATTTCTGGATCTGGACCCGGTCGATAAAATTTTTTGGACCCTGGAACTAGACCATTCTGAATCTGAACCCGGATCTGATTAAAACAAAATTCTCAAACTGGGATCCGGGTAGGACCCAATAAGCTCTACCCTTTGTCAAAAATGTTGATTTTTGAGCTTTCTACATGGTTTGTTAAATTTTAGTTTTTGTAGTCTTGTGACTTTGCTCTATAGGCTTCTGACTTGTAGAACATATCTCGCATGCTCTATCAAGTACACTTCATATATGCCATGCATAAAATCCCTCTACAAAGTAAAAAAATCTGGATTTCCAAAGTTCAATCTTGTTTGCCGTTTTTCTCAAAACGAGTTTTTTTGTTCGTGCATTTTGGATTTTTCAACCATTCTACATGCTAGAAAGTTCGAGAAGGTTTCTAATTGAAGAAAAAATTGTGTTCAACAACTTAACAGTGCTGAATTTTTTTTTATTTTTGACTTAGTTTTTGAGAAAATGGATCTTTTTTTTTCATAGGAATATTCCTATTTTTTCGAGAAAAGCTGACACAAAAAATTAACGAAGAAGAATTTAAAAAATCCGACGCTGTTTATATCTTGACACCAATCCGAAATCTATATCATTAACTATGGTAGAGAAATCTGGAACATGCGAAGACCTATTTTTGGATCCTTTATATAGAAATAACTCTTGAAGAACTCTATATTTCGGACTGAAATATTTACTGTAAGCTCTCTAGACCCGCACCTATATTTCCTGAAATTTTCCAGCTAGATCAGTTGTTCTAAAATGAAAATAAATTTTTGAGAGAGGAGAGCTTAATCACTGTATTAATGATGTTTGATATTAATTGAATGAAATTATTGAAAATGCAATGAATTACCATTATTAATAATATTATTTAATTGTTGTATAGCTTGAATATGTTTTTGTGCATGTGTTAAATCTCCTAAAGATTTTTTAATATCATAAAAAAGTTTTAAACGTTCATAATCTTTTCCATCAATAAATGGAAAAACATTTGTATGTAAACGTTTAACTAAATCTAATTTAGTTTGTCGATTTTTTTTAATTCTTTCTGAATTTAATAATGGTTTGATTTTTTTTCGTATTTCATTTAATGATAAACTTGAATTTGTTAATAAATATTCAAAATATGAATGATGACATTCATCAATTGATATATTATATTTAATTGCTAATTGTTCACTATATTCAAATGAAGGATTATCACACATAAATAGACCAAGTATTGTTAAACGACGATATTCACTATCATTTTCAAAACGATTTAAATCAATTGAATTATCTAATTGATTTAATATTGAATATTGACGATTTCGTAATAAACGATTATAATTTTCATTATTTTCAATTAATGTTTTATTTATTATCATTGATGGTATTGCATTTAAATTACGTGGTGTAGAACCTTTCATTAATGATTGACAATAAATTGATAATTGTAATGCATATTCATTATCTTTTTCGATTAAAATATCATTCTGAAATTTACAAAAAAAATCAATATTTGACTACTGAATATAATCATTTGAAGAAAGAACGTGATATCGGTGGTCTAATTTGTCTAATGAGGAAACCATTCGAGGTAACTCGTCCGTTTTGATCTCATATTTTGCGCATAAGTAGCAGGTTTTTAGACTAAGAAAAAGTTCAAGATGATATAGATTCATGTTGTGATTTGACTGACGAGGGAACATACCCAACTGTTAATCGATGATCGAAGTTATATTTTGTCCATGAATGAGATCAGAAAAGTCTAAATAGGTCGTCCTTCTGAAGTTATGACCATTTTATCGGATTCCGACTTATTAGAAAGTGTTCATAAAGAAGAAATTTTCATCTAAAATTTTGTTCATGAATAGGTTATATGATCTTTAGAACATTCTTAAAGTTTCAGCCAAAACGGATCGTTCCTAGGGGTGGCATTTTAACTTTACTTTAAAAGTTAAATTTAAAATGATACTTTAAACGGTAATTAAAGTAAAACACTTTAAAACTTTAACTTTAATAAAGTCCACACCCCTTAGGTCCTCAAGTGGTATACTATAGGGGTACCCTTATAGCATAGCACTTGAGAACCTAAGGGTACCTCTATAGTATAAGCCTTGAGGCCCTAAGGATTCCCTTATAGTATAGCACTCGAGGACCTAAGGGTACTCGTATAGTATAGCTTTTGAGGATCTAAGGGTATCTGGTACGCCTTATCGACTTTAATGTGGACTTGATTAAAGTTAAAGTCTTAATGTTTTTTACTTTAATTAAAGTTTAAAGTAAAACAGTTTAAACTTTAATACTTTTTTAAAGTATTTTTAAAGTTAAAATGCCACTCCTAATTGTTCCTTCTCGAGATATTGAATGTTCAAAAAAACGATCATATATCCTTTTCTTCAGTATTCAATATCTCGTAGAAGGAACCATCCGTTTTGACTGTAACTCTTAGAATGTTCTAAAAATCATATAACCTATTTGTCAATAAAATTTCAGATGCAAATTTCTTCTCTATGAATATCTTATCATAAGTAGGAACCCAACAAAATGGTCATAATTTCAGAAAGATTTTCTGGTACCACCCATAGATAAAATATAACTTCGATCAGCGATTAACAGTTGAGTATGTTCCCTCGTGAAATAGAGAGACTTTATATAAATCTTTCTGTAGGATCCTGATTTTCCAGCAAAATCATATTTTCGAACTTTGTAATGAATTTTTCAAAATATTCACATTTTATATAATAGCGACTATATTTTGAAAAATTCATATCTTAGATATGCTACGCGAAATAGCTCTGAAATCTAGTAGATCTGTTAGTTATGGGCAAAATATGATGCAGCTACTAATATAAAAAAAACCGGTCATTCTAGCTGTGCCATTAAATGTCAAAATGAGATTATCTTAGATGTTTGATTTAAACTTACATTTGTATTTGATGTTAAATAAACCATAATAAATAATGGTGTATCAATATTAACATATTTTATTGCACTTTTTTCATCTAAAATAATTTTAATTTAAATTTATTTTTGATCACGGTTGTACTTACCAATGGGTGGAGATTTTAATAATGGAATTTCTTTTAATTCCATCTAAATAATTTATATATAAGATAAACAAAAAAAAGAGACAAGAAAAATAAATAAACCTGTTGAGAATAATCTCGATCATAAAATGAATTTGTATAATATGAATAAGTTGATGTAACTCGATATTCTTCCTAAAAAATTTAATATTTTTAAATATAAAAATATAAAAATAAAACAAACATTTGGTATTGATTGATCTCGAATAGAAATAGATTTTTTCAAAACATCACCCAATAGAATTTCATCACAATGAAGACTAATAAATGATAATATTGATTGATTAATATATGATGGATTTTTATTAATTAATTCCCAACAACATTTCCATGATGGACCATAATTTTCTTCAACTAATGAAGAACATAATTCCCAACACATATTTAAATCATTGATCTTGTTCAAAATAGAAATCAAATACAAACGTATTTATTAAACAACGAAAAATTAATTCTACGTTAATCCACTCGCAAAGATATGACTATTGCTTCATTTTTAGCAACTGTAGTACTTTAAAACAATTGTTATCAACGTTTCTCTTATCAATATAAGTTATGAACATTTCTTTATCAGTGGTAAAAGAATCAGCTCCTTTAGTCCTAATATGGCAGAGATATTCAGTTTTTCGTACGATAAATGAGCTTTTGGGATCTACCGGTGGGTCTCAGCGCCTTGAAAGAATTAAAAAGAGATTGGAGAATGAAAGAAAAAAGTCATGTTTTCTTAAAAAAAAACAATATTATAAGATAAATTTACTATTTTTTTTTTTGTTAAAAAAATAAATATGATCATCTAGGAAGTAAAGTGTACTAGCTATAGTCCACTGTTCTGTACAAAATGTAAAGTAGGATATAGATTGAATGTGGCAAATATTCGGTATATTTTGCTTCTGCTTAGAAACATTTCTTTGCTCTGTATTTAATTTCAATATACTATTCATCCTTAGACCACATTACCTGAGATTGAACCGATTGTAACCTATAAAACTCAACATTCGGATTTGATAGGATTCGTCATTAGAGATGTGCAGGGTTATGTTTTTTGGTTCCGACGAAAGGAGAATTATTCCAAAATTTATTCGCGTGATATCTAAAAAAAATTCTTCAATAGCATTTTTTGGATCATCTCGCTTGAATTACTCGAGATTTACCAAAATTAGTGGTGGTGGTACTTTAATTTCTTATAAAAAAAACTTAAATAAACTTTCTCTCTATATGGCCTGATAGTAAAAATGATACTCTATTTTTCTACGTTATTACATCACTCTTCAGTTAATGTCATAATGATAAAATTTCGATAATATATAATGATAAGATCAAATCATATTTGTCTTCTATATGAATTCTCTTCTTGATCTTCTCCTCCCTACAAGTTTCTAATGAGTGACCTCCATGTATATAAATGGATTCAATAAGTACAATTGCATGTGTGAATAACTACAAGAGTCTATCGGGTTCAAGAAGTTTTGGGCTCGGATCCGGATCAGATCGATCAAAATTGTTGGATTCGGACCTAATTGATTGATATTTTGTGAGTAGAGCCCATCGGATCCAAGAATTTCTAAGCGCGGATCCAGTCAAAACAAAATTTCCAGATCCAAATTCGGATAGGATCCGATGGACTCTAATAACCACAACGATTATAGCGTAGAAAAATAGAGCATCGTTTTGCCTATCAGCCCATATAGAAAGTTTCTTTAAGCTTTTTAAAGTATCTCCGCTACTACTTTTGGTATGCCCTAAGTATATGATATATAGAACAATTCTCTTCTTGTACTTCCGGTCCTAAGACTAATGATGGTCCCGCACATCTATATTCCCGGCATTCAGATTTCGACAAAATTCTTATAGAATCTTATAAGATTTCATCATGATTTGTGAATAATATGTTTGGATTGAAACATTGATAATAAAAGAATGATTCTATCAGGAGAATTGTGAGTGTCAGCTTGCTCGTTTGAAATAAGAAAATGAATTACTTTAAGACAATGTTCAGCAATATAAAGCATACATCGATCTTTTTTATCTTGTTTATTACCAGTTTGAAGATATGATGATAATGATATTAACTAAAAATCAAATAATAAATCTTTCTTCTTTTTTTTTTGTTTTGATAAATGAAATAAAATTCTTTTACTTTGCTTGTATTTTTATAAGCTTGAGGATTTGAATTAAGAATAGCAGGAATTATTTGTATAGGATTTGGATGACGACGAACTTTATTAAGAAAATAAATCAATATTAATATTACTATTAATATTAATAATTATATTAAAATTTACTTTCAAGAGGTGTTATAGAATAATGAAAAAAATCACAAATATTTTGTGATTCAATTAAATTTCGTTCATTGACAACTAATGATTGATCATCGATTAAATCCAAACAATGTCTAGAATCAACAAAAAATAAAAAAAAATCATTTGACATTTAATATTCTATTTGTCTTTTAGTTAAATACTTAGCAAGAAGAATACTTCTATCTTGTCCATTTTTTGCTGAATCAATATAATCAATTGCTGCTTGAATAATTAATGGTATATGAAAACGTAATAACATTGAACGAACAATTTGAAAACATTCAATACTATCAGATTTTAATAAACTTGAAATAAATAACTAAATTAAATAAATCATTATTTATTTTCAAGAGATTAATTTTTTTGTATTTTACATTTGACAGTGTTTGTGATGATAAACGATGACGACATATTCGTTCAAGATCACGATAAAGTTCATTACCCATTGATATATTTATTTTATTCATTCTAAACAAATTCTTTTTTCTTGTTGCAATTAAATCATTTTCATATATGAAAATTCTCCATCTTGAAGAAGAACTTTCCATCAGATAAATATATAATACAAGGCTACACTTGATAACCAACAAATGTTAGTCACTAGTCGAGATAGTACGTCAAACATACTATTAAAATGAATGGGTGAGAGTTTGTCTCAAATACATAATGTTTTCGGAGAGTTTCCGTGGAAACTCAATTAAGCATTGACGGAGAAGATATTGATTAACTAGTGCAGATAACCTTTATATAATGGTTGACTTTGAATAGTGATCCATATAGATATATTCATTCAACCTATCGATCCTTGCTCGAAAAAATCAATTATAAAAAATAAATAACTGTTTACTATGTCTCCTACATGTTTGTATCTCCTATATTTTCTCTGTCGGTGTTTAATTGAGTTTTCGCGAAAACTCTCAGAAGATGTGTAATCGTCTCAAGTCGATAGTTAGTCGCATCTTTTTCCTGAGACAGACTTGAAACGAAAAATTGTTTGATCGATCAATTGTTTACCAATCGAAAATATTTATTAGTTTTTATAAATGAAATAAAGAAAAAATTTTTCTAAATTATTAATTATAGAACTTGTCGAATTTCTAAAAGTGAGAATAGATTTATATTCTATTAGTGATGAGAGTGTCCTTGAAATTTGTAGAGAATAGAATATCTTTATCATATTAACTGATTGAGTAAAGTCTGAGAGTTAAATCTATTGATGTATAACTTACTCTTCTTTGATTGCTGATTGTGTAAGAAGAACGATTGCATTTGATAATGATTCGTCTGATTCCTATTTTATTAGAAATGATTATTTAATTAATAGAGAAGTTGTTTCTTTTTTCTATTTAAAACTCACCAAAATTCTAATAATTTCTGATGGAATCATTGGAAGAGACCATTTTATAAAAATTCGACATGATCTTTAAAGTAAAAATAAAAATAAATCGAGTAATAAAAAGAGAAAAAAAAAATGTTTTACTCAATAATATATTCTAAATGTTGTTTATCATTGATTAATGTTAATAATTGTTGACAAATAGATATTTGATTAGTTGAATTAACATTTAAAATTAAATCTTTAATTAATTGATCAAAATTATTTTGTTTAAAATTTGTTTTTAATTTCAATGAATTAATTATTGGATAAATATCAAAATTATTTTGTAATTTTTTAATCAAAACTTTTTTTAAATATTCATTTGATTGTTGAATTAAATCCATTGATGGTAATAAAACTTGTTGAATACGTTTATCAATATCATCTTGTATAGAATTATTTTTAAATGTTAATATTAAATCAATTATTTCTTCTTCTGACATTATTTTAATTTGTTCTAATGTTAAATCTTGATCAGATGTTTTATTTAATAAATATTCAAGATAAAGATTATTATAAAATAAAGAAAATTCTTTGAAATTTTCAATTTCTAAAGCATGTTTACATAATTGAAGAGCATTTTCAATAAAACCAAATGATTCAAATGAAAGAATTCTTTTTTTATACCATTCAATAAATAATAATTGATCAATTTCTTCTTTTGTTTCTTCATATGGTGATAGAAATTCATCACTCCAATCATTTTCTTTACGATTAAATTCTTTTTCTTCAATTAAAGAATATTTTGGAATTAAATCTTCATATTCCGACAATGGAACTATTTCAGGAATTTCATTTAATATTGACAAAATATCAATTGATGATATCGATGGAATTGCACGTTCTAACACAACTCTTAAACCTTTCAAATGTCCTTCCTACAATAGAATAAACATATATGAATAATATCATTCGAGTTAAATGTTATAATATGACTTTGCTCATAAAACGATTAATCAAAACCGAATAAAAGTCTAATTGATCAACGTACAACGGTGCTTATATGAAATAACCTTCCTCAGAAAAGAAGACCGTCCCATATTAGAGAACCATTCCTGTTAAAAGGCCATGTTTATACAAAAGTTCATCGACCCTATTACAAGATCATGCATCAATTAATTACAAAAATATTAATTAATAATTAGTCAAAAAATATTGTTTTCCTGAGAAATTGCTTTGTATTCTACTATACAACATTAATTAATAACTGATCAGAAGTTGACCTCAATAGAAAGCCAACCCAACAAGTAACCATGTGGGGAGACGCTATATAAGGCCACGACCTTATATTATGGAAGAAGTTATGATAATAAAGTCGACAATCACTTTTTAGACATCAGCACGGTGACAATGACTCACGAGATAAAAAAAAATTGGATATCATGGTAGGCTTATCATTTAAACTATGGATGAAAATCTGTGGCTCATTGTCATCATCTGTGTCTGCTCGGTATACCTTTCGTATATTGTTTATTTAGTACTTCTTTGTCTTTTATGAAATATATTACTATGCTAACTGAAACATGAACATAGATGTTTGTATTGAAAATCTTATACAAACAAATATGAAGAGTACAGAACATGTTACTCTTTCAATAAAGAATCCAGTTATATTTTTCATAAATCATATCTCGTCAAGAAAATTGTTGAAATTCTATCGCAAACAATAATGTGTTTCATACTTTTTCAAGATGTTAAAATAGTGTGCATTCTAAAATCACTATGAGAATGATTTATATAGAAAAAAATAAGATTCTATAAGCCAATTAAATATATATATTGGAAAAAACAGCAATCCTGAAGTTCTCTTCCCTCAAAAAAAGTTACTTTTCGTCAGAATGGTCGAAATTAAGATAAATGCATAGGAAAATAATTCGTGATCTGATCTTTCATAAACGACAAAAATTTTTATTTGTCATCTCAGCTGCATCCTGATATGTTCTTGAAGAACAAAAAAAATTAAATGTATAGAATGAACCTGAACAGAGAAATTTGATCTGAGAAATGTGCTATTTTTGACCCTTGTTTGGTCAATATCTCCCGAAAATGTTATGATATCGGTCTGAAAATTTTATACCATTTGAACATTGTTGGGTTGAGATTGACTTTTGAGAGACTCCTTCTTTCTCCATCCAAAATTTTTAGTTTTTTCGTTTTTCATTTTTTGTGTTCGATATGTGAATTTAAATGTTCTCTATTTAATGAGCACATTTTAAGAAGGCAAAACTACCTTTTTGCATGTGAAAAACTCAATTTTATGTTAAAAAAAGCCAAAAAAATGCAACTTTCTCAAAAGCAGATTTTTAAACAAAAAATTGAAGCTTTTCCCGCTTTTCTCCTAAACGGTACGTCCCGACTGAGCTCAAACTTGTTTTAATGAATACTTCGATCAAATCGGAGTGCGTATTTTTTTGTTTCTCTTGAAAATCTTGTACCTATGAAGTTTGGCAGATCTTACAAAACTAGTACCATCCGAAAAAAAAAAGCTTTTTTTGATAGTGCCTTCAGTGTTTTGTTTCTCCTGAGCCTCAGGAACAATATTTTTCAAAGAAAAAAAAACAGATACCCAGATTTGTTCCTAGTTGTCGTAGAAAAAATTTCAGTCCAAAAGAGCGTAATATGACCATTTACTGAGAGCGGAAACTTTAGGTTATTTTTGACCTCCCAAAATCTTCCTGAAGAAAACATTTCGGAATTGTGAGTCTATGACGACTTTTATTCTATTACATCGAGATCTTTTCAACGATGAAAGTTTAAAACATTTTTCCCAACCCGTTCTCCATAAACATCGAAAAGGGGACGATTCCCTTAAGTGAGTTTTGTCGATTGTATAATGTTTGATAGAATTGTATATGACAAAAAAATTCGTAGATATTTGTTTTCATATAAAATGAAATCGATTGAAATAGTAAAATAACTATTAAAGAAAAAAAATCTTACTCTAGCAGATCTTAATGCAATTTGTTTATAATCCCATTCTCTAAATTTTTCAAAAATATTTGATTGATATTGTTGAAATATTTTATATTTATTAATAAGATCATCATATAAATATAATTTTCTTTTTTCATCTAATAATTTTCTTCTATAAAGTAAAACTTGTTTTTGTGGAATATTTAAAGGTATTTGTTTTGGTTGAATATCTTTTAAATATAAATTTTCATCATAAATTGTTTGAAAAAAAGGTTGATCTGAATAATATAAATTATCAAATAATTGTTTTCTCGTTGCTTGATTAAGACCAAATTGTATTAAATTAAATTGTTCATTAAATGTTGGATATAAAATAGTTGTACATAATTGAAGAACATGAAGACGTGATTGAATTCGTGTTAAATGTGCACCTAATTGTGATGATGATAAACGTAATGCTTTTTCATGTATTTGATCAGATAAATCTATTCGATTAAATACTTTACAAACACGTAATGCTTGTCCATATTCACCTTTTGAAACTAAATTTTCTATTAAACGACAAGGATCACTATGTTCAAGTAATATTAATCGTTCATTTATTAATTCAATTGAATCTTTTAATGAATGAAATAAACGTGATATTATATTAGAATTTTCTTCATCTATTTCATTTTCAATTTCATTTTCTATTTGACAATCAATTAAATATAATTCATTTGATGTTCGACGACAAAAACGTGCCCATTCATTTAATTGTTTTGATTCATAACGATATTCTTCTAATGTTTCTATACCTTCATGAAAACTTATTGAACCATCAGAATAAAATAATATTAAAGTCTATATTAAATATATTTTATTTATATAAGAATTCAATAAAAAAAAAAAATAAAACATACTTTATTATCCCAATAATTAAAATCACAAATAAATGAACGATTATCAGGGATTTTTAACTAAAGAAAAAAAAAACAAATTATTTATTTTACAAAAGAAAATAGAAAAATGAATCTTACCTTAGATAAACAATGAAGTTGTTCATTATTTTGATAAAGAACAATTGATTGATCAGATAATATTGATACAAGATAAGATTCATTTGGTGAAAGTGCAAGACCATATATATAAATATTATTATTATCTTCTTCTTCTTCTTCTTCGTCTAGAATTTCTTTTATTTTAATAATAAATGGATTTGTATCAACAATTTTCCAAATTTCAATTGATTTTGTATTAAAAGGAACAATATAAAGTTGATTTTGATTTGAATCAATAATTGCACAAGTTATATTAAAATCAAATTTATCTTCTGCACATGATGCTATATCATCACGACTCATTACATAACGAATTAATTCACCACTACGTTTTAAACATAATAAATCAATAAATCTATTTTTAATAAAAAAAAAATAAAAAAATAAATAACAAATAAAAAAACAAAGACTAACTGTGATGCATCACTTCCTGAAAACCAAATTTCTACAAATGAATCTTCATTACGATTTAACTAAAAAATAAATTTAAATAAGAAAAAAAAAAATCTTTTGTTTTATATAAAATAATTCAATACTGATTTCGTTGGTAATTCATGTAATAATTGTCCATCATTTGATGAATAAACACAAACAATACCTGACCAATGTCCATAAGCTAATAATTTTCCATTATTAGACCAATTTAAACAATTTAAATAATTATATTCATCTGATCGAGATAAATCAAGTGGAATTTCTAATAAAACTTCAGATGTAACAAATGATA